AGTTTTCAGGCTTGGCAACAAGCCCCTCTAGCTACTAAACCCTCTTCACAGCCTCCACATCTCTTTTTAAAGAACAGATTTATTGCGCTTGATATGGTGCCATGCACCCTTGATCCCAACACTTAGGAGGTGTAGACAGGAGGATCAGGAGTGCAAAGCCATCCTCAGCTACATAGTAAGTTTGAGGTCAGCCTGGGTTACAAGACCCTATCTCAATAAACTAAAAGCAAAAAGAATTACTGCTTTCATTAGTAACCACAAAGGTGATATGTAGCTCTGGATATTTTATATTCAAGCATATACATATATACATATATATATACACAATTCACATCTATAGTCACACATACAACACAGTATGAAATTTGAAGATTTTAGAAGAACACAGAAACAGCCACTGTTAATAATTCTATATGCAACAATCCTGAGATATATGGTTATATATGAAACTTTTGAGCTCATACTATGCACAGTTGTATAGTCATCTGCTTTCCATTCAACAATATGGTGTGAACATTATGAAATTTGTTTTTTGAAAACATGGCATCTAATTTCTGCACACATTTTACTAATGAATATTCAATAACTCAGTCAATGCTGTATCACCGAATGTTTGGATAGTTTCCAGTTTTGCCTACTATGAAGTATAATGTTTGTTTCTTAATTGTGAAAATTCCAGTAGAGGAAGTTATGAACCTTCTGAGGACTTTACTTTCTGTTGCTGGATGTCCTCTTTGAGAAGTCACACCACTTTACACCCCTCTAGGGACATTAAAAATGCCTGCTTTCCTGAGGATACAAAGGGCTCATGAGTCCCACAGGTGAACAGGAGCTCTCTCTCATCATTTCATTTCCTGGGTTTCTACTGAATTTTAAATATGCTCCATCAACTCTTGCAGTCCTTCCTTTCCTCTGTCTGTGTTGTGTGTGTATGCTTGTCTCATATGCATTTGTCTCTGTGTGTGGTGGCCAGAGAGAGCCTTCAGGATCCCCCAGTCTTTGACCCTATCCATTTCTAGGGTTACCGGTCACCATGCCTGACTTCTGAAATGTAGGTGTTTGGGGGACAAAACTCAGGTCCTCATGCTCCCATAGCAAGTATTTTACCCCCAGCCCATGAACTTTATTTACTTTTTACATTTACTCGTGTGTGTTTGTGTGTGTGTGTGTGTGTGTGTGTGTACACTGTGCATTTCTAGAGGTCAGAGGTCATAGGTCGATTTGGAGGGGTTGGCTCTCTCCTACCATGTGTTTAAACAACAATTGTAAGTTCCCAGGGGACAGGGATACTTTTTGTGAGCATTATAGTTCGAATGGAAAGGTATCCTGGTGTGAACATTCTAGTCCGGATAGAAAGGTGTCCTGGCAGCTGGGAGCCAAGGAATGCCACAACAAACCTCACACGAGAGATCTATTGGGAGAAAAAAAAATCCAGGAGGGCAGCTGTATCTGCTTGGGAGTGAAACAGCAGCAAACTAAACTGGACACAGGGCTTATATAGAGTTTCTTGGGAAGGGTGTGGAACTTTTCAGGATGGAGACTGGTGGGATTTCACATCCAGAGATTGGGCTTTTTACTCTGTAGGGTAGGGGCAGAGTCCAACACAGAGTATTCTGTAGGTGGAACCTGGCAGTCGGAGGTCCTTGGGGGAGGGGCTGGCCAGCTTTCATTTTGTCTGCCATAGTTAGACAAATATCTATAAAACAAATTATTGGAGCAATATTTTTATTTTATTTAGTCATAAAAGCTTTACTCTGGGAGAAATGTTTCTGTGTAACCATCACTGCCATCTTGACTGCTAACTGAGTCTTTGAGAAACTAGATTTTTAAAAAGTTTTTAAAAAATATTTAATACAATTTCTTTTTTGATTTTTTCACATCATGCACCCTAATTCCACTCACCTCCCAGTTCCCCCATATCCTCCCCTCACCCCTGCAGCACCCCCTGAGAAAGAAAATTTTAAAACAAACAAAAAATCAAACCAAACCGAACAACCAAACATAAACAAACCTCTCCATCTTTCCCACACCTCCATTCCTCCTAGAGGTATTGGGAGCCCCTGTGTGTCACACAGTGCTCCCTTCTGTCCAGTCAGCTCTGCTAGCAAGTGCTCATCGTAGTAAGTCGTTGGTCTTACTCAAGGCATGGGAGAAATAATATTTCATTTAGCAAAATCAAGGGCCCACTTGCCAGCCTGTTAGCATCAACTACAGTAGTGATTTTGCCTCAAATGGAAATGAGTTAAAAATCAGGCAGTTTTAGAATAAGCTCCAGATGGGGACCGAAAGCTATTGGGCATTTTGAGCACGGCACACTCCAGGCAGCAAAGCCAGTCATTGGGAGATTGGGCTATTGACTTGCCTTGAAGGGCTCCCTCTTTTTCCTGAATAACAGATCATGGCCGCCTTAGAAAAGGGCTCTGTGACATTCTTATTGATCAGGCTTCAAAAGGAGCTGGAGAGGGGGTTGGGCAGCCTCCCTCTGTTCCTCCCTGGGACCATGGAGTCTTAATGAGTTCAGTTCACTCCAGAAGACCCGGCTCATCTGACCATAATTCTCAAGGCATTCCAAACGCTTGGTTCACAGGTTCTCCTGGCTGGTGGCTCTCAGTTATTTTCTCCCTCTTCCATACCTTCTCTATATTGTCAAATCAGCTGTCATATGGGGTATAAAGTAAGCCCTTGCCTCTAAATAGAAGACACTCAGAAAAATGTCACCCCATTTCCTTCCAGGTCTTTCTAATACTTTCTTCCGTGGAGAGAATCCCAACGACAAGAACAAAGAGAAACGGCCCATTTGGAAGACAAAGTAACAGTAGAATAACCACTTTCTTAGGGTATTGATTAATGATCTGCTAATTGTTGGATTTAAATCACTTAAAATGGCAGATACAGGTGCCTTTCTGAAAGAGGCTCTGAGGCTGGGGAGATACATAGGTTGAGAAAGTGTCTGCCTCACCGGCAGGAAAACCTGAGAGAAATCTCCAGATTCTGTTAAAAAACAAACAAACAAAAAACCACACATGCAAATGGTATACACAAAATAAATAAATATTGGGAGAGAGTCTGATAAGCTGAGTTCAGTTCCTGGAATACATGTAAAAGTGTATAAAGATGGAAGGAGAAAAAAGACTTCACAAAGTTGTCCTCTTACTTCCACACATTCCTCCCCCAGATATCACACACACACACACACACACACACACACACACACACACACACACCATGAATGAGTCATTTTTTAAAGCAAAAACCTACATTGGAGATGGTTTTCAATCTCCACACACATGCTGTGGACACACATGCTGTGCACACCCACCGAGGAATAAGCTTTGCACTATCTTACATCCCCCAGTCACCTCTCTGATGTCACCTCTGTGATGTCACAAGTGTTACAGACAAAACCCAGAGGTTTACACAGGGCTTTTAGATTTTTTTATTTGCTCACCACAAGCAGCAGCACAATGGGTGTTTCCCATTCGCTTTCTGAAGGGAAATGGGGGGAGGGGGTGTCGGGTGCTCAAGGCCACCTAGCTCCCTCCCTGCACCCTCGTTTGCTCACTGCTGTTTCTGAGTGTGTCACAGTGTCACAGTTCCAGCTATGTTCTGTTGTGGGCCACAGTATGTGGCATTCTTGTGGGTAAGTTTTGCTTGCCTTAGTTTTGTACCCAGGCACCCTTTGAAAAGTGGTTTTGAGCTGGGGAAAAGCTGTTTTAATGTATTCTAGAGAGGATTAGCTAATTTTCCCTTAGCATGTGCCCATGACTTGGAGAATATAATGTCTCAAGCAATTGTTCCTTCAGTCCCCTGACAAGTTCAAGTTCTGTTTTTTCTTCCTTCCTTCCTTCCTTCCTTCCTTCCTTCCTTCCTTCCTTCCTTCCCTCCCTCCTTCCTTCCTTCCCTCCTTCCTTCCTTCTTCCTTCCTTCTTCCCCCTCCCTTCCTCCCTCCCTCCCTCCCTTTTTGTTAAAAGTATGGTATCAGAAACAATTGCCTCTCCTGCTACACTAGAGATACACAGTAACCACTAGGAAAGAGAGAAGATTAAAAGTTACTTTTGAAACAATGGTGGTAAATAAAAAAGAGTAATTCTAGTGTGAGTTAGAAACAGAAAGCCATCCTGGAAAAAGCAGTGCATCTTTGATGGAAAAGACCAGAGTGATACAGAGAAACCCTGTCTCATAAAAACAAAACAACAACAACAAAAAAAAACAGAGTGTCCCTGCATTGTCTCTAACTTCTCCCTACTTGGAGGTGAGGCTGCTTCAGTACTGGCTGGAGAGAAGAGCTCACAGCCCAGTCTCTATGAGCACATACCTGGAAGTCTGAAGAGACAGGCAGAACTCATCAGAAACAGCGCTCTAATCCTAGGAAGCACATCCTAAAACACAAATGTCATAGCAACGGCTGATGTGAAGTTGCCATGAGGTTTGTGTAGTAATATGAACAGGGTTAGTTTCTGTAGGCAAACATTTCCTGGCATCAGGTAGCTTTAAAGTATTTAAGACATTGGGAAAGTTTGTGATCAGCTAGGAGAATGTTGAAATCATCACTGATGTTCACTAATTAAAGCAAGCTTTGACCAGGTTATTTTTAGGTTTTCCTAAAGCAGAATCCAAACCACAGCATTCAATAAATGGATTTTCCAACAAGTGAGAGTGAGAATTTTGTCGGTGTTCAGGTTCATCTTCAGCTCAGGAATTATCACCTTCGAAGCCTCTGAGCACTGACGTCACGAGCGAATTTTCCAAATTGAGAATTTGGATCTCTTGTTTTATTTTTGAGGTCTTAAAAGAAGAAATGATAACCTGTTACATGCCTACTATTATGTGGCAGCTGTTGAGAGAGCAGAAAGCCAAGTGGGTGACTCATTGTCCCTTGAACACATCGCTCACATTCTCCCCACCCCACCCCCACCTTTCCTTAGGCTAGACTCCTCTTGGAGCCTGCTCACCCGCCCCACTGTTGTAGGGGACCACAGGCCATCATCATCCAGGCTCAGTTTTCTCCCAGGTCAACTCCGCTCTTCCTATGACTGCCTGGACCACTTATCATCACTCAACACTTAGAACTTGGCTGTCCCTGTCTGCTTTGGATAATTATCTTTCATATCCTATTGTTGAGTTCCATCACTGTCAGCTTGGCTTTCTCTCTTTCCTTCTTAAAAAAAGGGGGGGCTGACAGTGTGCCTCACAGCAAATAGGTATCCCCAGCCCCCGAAATCTGCTCACTAGTTTGTGACTCATCCTCTCCTGGTGCTTGGAGATAGGACTGTGTGTTCCTTAGGACAGTGAAGCTGTTTCTTCCCTCGGGTTCATACAGACTGGGTTCTTGGGTCTCTCCGAGCCAAGGTCATGCCAGAGGACCACAGTACTCTATTTGAATGTCTGCTCCCTCTTATCTGGGGCTATTATCCCAGCCAATGGCAAAGACATAATTTAGAATTACGAGGACTCAGGAAGGCAGACTGTCCCAGCTTAATGGAATGCCAAACCCAACCTTGAGAAGGTCAAGAAGAGGAAGAATATACAACTTCAGCTTGGGAGGCCCCCACCCTGCCCCAAGTGGGAGAAATACCTAAGAGATTCAGTGTGGGGTCAAATGGCCTGTGGTTGCCTTATGGATTCGTCTGCTTTTAAAAAAGGGAGCAGAACACATAGATACTAGTTCCTCAGGTGAGCTGACAGAGCAGGAAAAAGGAGAGTAGGGACAGAGACAGCTGAAATGCTATCTAGAAGAGTCAGAGAGACGCCTCTGGAAAGACCAGAGCCGGCGTGAAAGTTCTAAGGGGGCGGGTGGATTTGCCAAAGCAAAGGATTCAATTGCATGGGAGAAAATGTTAGGGGAATTTTTGCCTGACTCTACAGAAAACTTTGCTGAGTTAAGGGGTAAGGATAGGCCTGCATTCTGATGATCTAAGGAATGCAGGGCAGCAGCATAGCAATTAGAAGCAAGGGCTTGGAGAAGAAGGAGCAGGGTCCAGATCCTAACTCTGTGTTTCTGAGACTCAGTTTCCTCAACTGCAGACAAAGAATGTCTCCCACAGGGAATTGCACAGAGAGGATTAAGTGAGATACTGTAAGTGGTTAGTGTAGTCTTGCCTCTTAATAAATAGTAGCTCCATCCATAGAGACAGATGGGGTATTTCTTGATCTCTTTTTAGACAACTTTGGCTTCGCAGTGCCCTGGAGATGCCAAGGAGGGACACAAGCAGGCAGAGATTCTCCACAGAAGGAATAGCCAACGCATTTCTAGGAACAATATCATCTGATGTTAAATTTGGAATCATTTCCTGCTCTAGGCAATAATAGCTCTGTCTGTTCTCATTAGCCACAACATCTTTGGGAAAGTCTGTTATGTACAACTGCTTTGTGTTAGCGGTGTTTTACGACGGAGAGGAGACAGGCGATGTCTGTGCTTTGCCTGTGTCTCAAGTGGGAGGAAAGAGATGGAGCAGGAAGCAGCTTGTGAAAGCTGGGGTGATGGATGCACCACCACAGGCACCGTAGAGCCTGGCAAAGGGAAGCCTCTGAAGAGAAACGGAGCCCATCACATCCACAGCCATCACAGGTAGAAAAAAGTCCCGGATGCTGTCGGTTACTGAGCTAATCAGCGCAGAGCTGGAAATGGACAGAAAGTCTGTCTTGGGCTCTTTGCCCAGTAGCAGTTTATTACTTCTGATTCCGTTCAGTGACTCACCTGGAGTTTCTGTAGCACATTCCAGTTAGAATGTTTGTAAGGCCAGCAACACTCTCCTCTGTGGCTTTGTGCACTGATCTTCCTCCCTGTGACTGGAGAGTCCTCCGGTCCCCTGCCTGATACAGCTGGAATGCAAATTAACAACACAAGCATTATTTGGCTCCAGATGAGATAGTTTCTATGATGTAGCAAATATTCTTGTGCTGCGGCTGCAATGACTCACCCTGACTGGCTGCCCAAACACTTACCCAAGAACTAATTCAGTAAACTGAGGCCCAGCCACTGTGGCAACTGCCTCACTCTTGGTTTGCTTTTAGGGAACAATTGCCCTTTTACCTTTTCCCACCTCTTACATGAGCCCCACAAGTGCAGAAACCTGTCTGAAGTTTCTAGAATTTCTTCAGGTCATCTCTCACTTGCTCACTTGTGAATATCTGTTCTTCTGAGCCTCCCCATCCTCTCTCTACTCTTCCCTTCCCCTAATTTTGACTCTACATCTCAACTTCTGTCTGTGTTGGAAGGGACCCCCATCCCAGTCCCCTTGGTACAAAGATCCAGATTTTTCTCTACCCCAAACTTCTAGGGATAGACAAAAACCTGTGGAACTCTGGGCAGTGAGAAACATGAAAACTATTAAATTTATGTTTAGAAAACCAAAAGATAGCCGGGCAGTGGTGGCGCACGCCTTTAATCCCAGCACTTGGGAGGCAGAGGCAGGTGGATCTCTGTGAGTTCGAGGCCGGGCTGGACCGACAGCCTCTGAAACAATACAGAGAAACCCTGTCTCGTAAAAACCAAAAAAAAAAAAAAAAAAAAAAAAGAAAACCAAAAGATAAATATAAATGCCAACAAATTATCACTTAAAATACTTTCATGAGTGGCCAGATGTTCTTCCTGCCCTCAAATTTTGGAGGCCTAATTGCTGGTGCTGAGTCCATGGTGGTCGTCTAATGGCTTCGATCATTCACCTGTTCCCTGCCCCACGGCTCTGATCACTCACAGGGGCCTGTGGGGACAGAACAGCAGTTGTTGCCCAGCCCAGTGCCCAGCCCAGCCTGTCAGGGTGTTCTGTGTTGCCTGGGTCGGTTGAAGAAAGAGGTCAGGTCAAGATGAAGTTCGCAGGCCTGTGTGTGGCTGCAGAAAGCTGAGGCTCTGACAACTGAACCCTAAGCGCCATACAAAGATGTAGGCATTGATTGTTACACAGAGCTGTTTATGGGTTAAGTATTTCCTCATACCGAGGTGCCTAATCTAATCTATATGTCTCTCTAAAGGAGAGCACCACAAATCCACATGACTCTAGTCCTCTATTATGTATCGTTTGCAATACACAATAATCGAAAAGCCTCGGGGGCATCTTGTGACCGAAGTCATGGAAGGCTGCAACGCCCCTTCAGTAAAACAATTCAACAAATTGCAGGAAACAACCACTGTTTTCCACAAGGATGCGTTACTGTTTACCACAATGATTCTTCAAGGTCAGAGTACTTCTAGAAAACAACTATTCATTCTAATGTCGACCCCTATACAGGACTCTGCTTACTTTCTACGACACCAGCCTTTCTCTTGGAAGGGCCAGCAGAGGGGACAGGCTTCGTTCAAGCCTTGCTTTTGTTTCTTTCCCTCAGCACACCCACCTCTTCCCTCTGCTCCCATCTCCCGGGGACCTCGAGTGTGTTTGCAGCAGGGAGGCATTGAATTGAATGCTCTTACTGCTCTTCTGACACAGAAGACTAAAAGCTCTCAGTGACAGGCTACACTAGAGATGTGTGCTGAAATCTCAATGGCTACCCCTTCCTCCAGCCAGGCTCAACCCTCCAACGGAGGGTAGGGATGGTGAAAGCAATTTAAGCAACAGGCTGAGACAATTGTTCTGAATCCAAACAAATTACGCGGGTCACCAGAACATCCATCATTTCTCCCTGCCGGGTCCGAAGGCCAGTGGAGATGGTCATGCATAATTTATCAGCTAATCGATGGAAGTCAAAGGCCACGAGAGAATAACAGGACCCCCGAGGAAGACCTCTTTCTTGCCCGCCTCCCTCCTTCCTCTCTTCCTCCTCCTTTTCTTTCTTTCACTTTCTTTTTGTACAGGCGCTCTAACAAAGACTTGCTTTTTTCCGCCTTCCTCGAAGCCTTTCCTCATGATGTCATTCTTCCTGGCACAACCTTCTCGGCATTCCTTCCCAGACCGTCTTTGCAATCAAAGGCAGCTACCAGCCCACTTACGGTTCTGGCTTTAATTATCAGTTGCTCCCACCACACCCGGCCTTTTCACTGTTGTCTCCTAGGCATGTGGAGGAAGCTTGGTTGCCAGGAAGCTCAGGAATGGTCTCTGCTAACCTGAGTGCAGCCCTTCCCATCCCTCATGCTTCCTGTCACCTGCCGTTCCAGAGCCCTCTCCTAGTTTGCTTATCCGGTCTCACATCCCTGATGAGTGACTGGGTCTTGTGTTCCTCTAATGCCTCGTTTTATTTCTTGTAATTAACCGTTGATCTCTTCGTATCAATCTCTTCAGAATCCCCTGCCTGTTTACCCATGTTTTGCCTCCTAGTAGACACAGGCGCAGCAGAAGGCAAAAGGAACCAGCCAGCCTACTAATTAGAACTCCAAGAAGAAACATGTTCAGTGTGTCCTCCTGGGGATGGGTAGATACAGGAAGCAGAGCTTGTGGAGGTGAGGAATGTCACTGTTTTTTTGTTTTGTTTTGTTTTGTTTTGAGACAGCGTTTCTCTGTATTGTTTTGGAGGCTGACCTGGAACTCACTCTGTAGACCAGGCTGGTCTCAAACTCACAGAGATCCACCTGCCTCTGCCTCCCGAGTGCTGGGATTAAAGGCGTGCACCACCGACGTCTGGCAGAATGTCACTGTTTTAAGGGTGCTATAACGTAGCACCAATGGCTTCAAACAACAGAAATGTATCACCTCACAGTGCTGGCAGCTAGAACACCAACATCAAGGCATAGGCAGAGCTGGGCTCCCTTATCACCAGGAGGGGGAAATCTTTGCTGCTGCTCCTAGCTCCTGGTGATTTCTTAGCAGTCTCTAGTATTCCTTAGCTTGCCCCTGCAGCCACCCATGGAATTGTCACGTGATCTGTTCTTTATAAGTCATTCTTCACAAACTGTATCAGCTTAGGGCCCACTCTAATCCAGAACGACTTCATTTAATACCTACACTGACCCTACTTCCCAGTAAGACCACATTCTAACATACTGGGATTTTAACTTCTCTTTTTTGAAGAGATACAGTTCACCTCGTAACAAGGAGTATGCCCATTCCAAGAATAATCAACAGATAAATTTGCTGGGAAGATGGATACGAGCAGGGATGGGTATGAGATACAAACAACTTAGCAAATAAACTAATTGGAAAATAAAACTACAAACTCATTCCCTTAGTCTAATGTGCCAAAGGTCTTTATGTCTCTCAGATCAGTCTAGTACCTTATAGTCTTTTGCCATTGGTCAAAAGTAAGTGTGTTACTAGCTAGTCTTGTTGCTTTGACCAGCTTAACTGTTAGGAAAGAAAAGGAAAGATTTTTTGGGGGGGGCTCAAAGTATCAGAAGGTCACAGTCCACCATGGCAGGACAGGCAAAGCAGAGGTCTACGGTGATAGCACAAAGCAATGGCTTGTTCACGTGGACACCAGCCAAGTAGCAGAGAAGACAGGCTAGGACTAGAGTCAGCAGAACCCTCAAAGCCTCACTCTTAATGACCCCCTTCCATACTCCAGGTCCCACCGCAGAGGTTCCTAAAACAGGGCGTCCAGCCTGGGGGGAACCAAGTGTTCAAACAGATGAACCTGGGGGGGTACTTGACATTTGATTCACAGTAACAAGATAGAAAACCACCACCAAGATGAGCTCATCGTGTTCTCGTTCATTCGACACTATGTTCTGAGTGCCATGTACAAGGAAGAGTCCCGTACAGTGGGGAATATTACAGGCATGACCTCTACCATCCCAAGAAACAGCTCAAAGGGAAGTCTTCCTCATCCCCAGTCAAGGAATTGTGTTTGGAAGGAATTCCAAAACAGAGACATTACAGGCAGATGGGGTAAAAGTGCCAAAGCCAAACGGGAAATCACTTGACAAATGGAGAGTGAATGGATGGCAAGCCTTTGCAAAGTCTCCCTGTGTAAAGGCCATGCCCTTTGTGGTGTCAGGGAACCAAATCCTGCAGACTGCTAAGGCATACTTGTTATTCTTGTAATGAAAACAGAAAGCCCTGAAGTGACCCTTCTGGAAGCAATAGCCCAGTTCCCACGCCGGCAGCTGAAGTTCAAGAGACACTGGGAAATTCAAGTTATGTCTCCCTTGAATCACAGAGAACCCCACCAGGCCTGGAGAAGCACAGTGACTTGGAAGTGAGCCTTCACCTCTAATCTGGGCAGCACCCTTGTTGGGAAATTGCAGACTGTCTCCTGTTTCCATGGAAAAGAGGTGCCACTGATGTGTGACTCAGTGCCGTTGCAGTCACCTAAGTTCACATTTTCCATAATCTACAGATGGTCTCTGAAGCAGGCTGCATTTGCAGGATCTGTGTTCCACCCCTATAAAATACTGCATAGAATGACTTTTCAAAGTAAGCAGTGGTTTCAAGACATCATCCTGAATAAGGCAGCTCAGCTCTTGTCATTCATCAAGTGACTTTACCTTCGAGGGAATTTCCCTTAAGAAACATGATGTGCTTGTGTACAGTTGGGAAGAATAATAAGGCAGTGAGAGTGCCATTAGGGATGTTCCCAGCCTTGCTCCCTCCTCATTTCATGAACACAGTAGGATCGCACTCAGATGCCCTGTTCGAAGCTAGGAAGGACCTCGTCAGTTACTTGAGCTCATGAGATGTGTGTGAAAATGACCTGTGCCAACCTGACCAGGTAACCGTGCCAGCATGAGGCTTGCTCATTTCCCTTGGTTGCTTCTTTAAAGGTTATGGAAGCAGCAGTCAAGATGGGTCTGCCAGCATAGCCGACCTGCAAGTGATGAGTTGGACAAGAGTGTGGGTGAAAATCAAAGATTTGTGAGGTTAAGTCGCTGAAATTTGGGGCAGGGGGTGTTAGTGTCACAAACAGCCTTGTGCCTTGTCTTGTCCTGAGAGGGATCAGCAGTGAATTCTTGATAATTTACTTGTCCATCATAGACAGAGTTCACAGGTAGATGGAAGGTGTAACCCTAGGGGATTTTCTTGGGTGTGTACCTGCAGGGTAGATCTATCAGGAGGCCAGGATAAGGCACCAGTTAAATTGTAAAGGTTTTAGGAGGAAGCTCCTAGAATACATTTACATTCTTTTTTTTTTTTTTTTTTGGTTTTTTTCGAGACAGGGTTTCTCTGTGGCTTTGGAGGCTGTCCTGGAACTCGCTTGGTAGTCTAGGCTGGTCTCGAACTTACAGAGATCCACCTGCCTCTGCCTCCCGGGTGCTGGGATTAAAGGCATGCGCCACCAACGCCCGGCTACATTTACATTCTTATACAACCTAGGACCACCTGCCCATGGATGGCACTACCCACAGTGGACTTGACCCTCCCACATCAACCATTAGTCAAGATAGTGTCCCACAGACTTTCCTTATAGGTCAATCTGATGGGGGTAATTCCTCTACTGAGAATCCCTCTTCCAGATGACTACAGTTTGTATCAAGTTAACAAAAACAAACAGACAAAAAAACCCAACAGCAACAAACCTAACAGTACATCCTTCAATCACTATTTAGGTCTGTGAATAGCCCAAGAATCTGCCCCCCCTCATTCCTTTATCCTCTGTCATATTTCAGTATAAGGCATTCATCTCTCACTGAAACACAAAATAAAACAGGCCTCACTATAAAAAAGTGTGGCCACTTACTGTCTATAGAATAGTTCAAATTTACGATTAATAGTATGCACTTTTCTAAATGTATGGTCTATTGAAGATGGATATATCCCATGAAAGTAGATTATTGTCTGAAAGGACAGAAAAGGACAGCCGCATGTTTTCTGTTTTTAAATATCTTACATGAGAGCATGGTTCTTTTGATCATTTTCAAAGTACCAATTTAAAAAAAATTGGCAGCCTTCTAGTAAATGTCTTTGCTTTAAAAATGTAATACTGTTCTATTCATGGTTGAGAAACTCTGGCCATCCCAAAGCTCACTCTGTAGACCAGACAGAGCTTAAACTCAGAGATCTACCTGCCTCTGTCTCCAGAGTGCTGGAATTAAAGGCGTGCACCACCACACCCAACTTGTAAATTAAAAATCTTACAGCCAGTCAGACTCCAACCAGGAAAACAAATGGATGATTTAATTTTCAACTTAAACATATTTTTGGAAAAAATGATTTCATTCAAACCCATTTCAATATTATTGCCTGTTTTAAGGGTTCTATAGATGAAAGGGTTACACCTGATTATGTTTGCTTGACTAGATTTCCTTGACAATAAAAAGTATTCTGGACTTTTGATTACTGGCATCCTATTAATTCTTTCAAGAAGAAATGCCACGAAAGTAACCAAAACCATGGAATCCTCCCAAAGGATGCTCAGCAGGAGCCATCAATATCAACGAAGAAAGGACATCTTTTCTTCATTTGGGTGTGTAGGAGTCTTTTGCCTGCATGTATGTCTGCACCGTGTGCACACCTGGTGCCCTTGTATGTCAGAATAGGGCATCAGACCCCCAGGAACTGGAGTTACAGACACTTGTGAGCTGCCATGTGGGTGTTGGGAATTGAACCTGAGTCTTTAGGAAGAGTAGCTGGTGCTCTTAGCTGCTGAGCCATCTCTCCAGCCCGAGAAAGGATATCTTAACAAGTGAAAGCTTAAAAAAAATTCACCCCACAAATTTTCAGATTTTAGTGTATCCTGATGTCTGTCTTATATAATTCCTAATAAGCACCCTGAACATTTTGTATGTGTGTGTGTATGTACTTTAGAGCATCTTTTTTAATTTTAACATTCCCCCAAATGGGAGAAGAAAGTGATGCATAAGCACCTGGAAATGGCAGAATTGCTAACTCATAGAGGAAAGAGTGTCCAGCACTGGAGAGCAGAGGCAGGGGGCTGTCTGAGTTTTGAGGTCATCCTTGTTTACACAGCAATTTGCAGGGCTACACAGAGACCATGTCTCAAAAGATCAAATCAAAACAATAATAGTAACAACAAAAGGCATGTTGAAAGCAAAACCAATCAAAATGTAGATTCTGGCCTGAGTTTATCTCAGTCCACACTGAATGGCATCTGCTAGTTACTTACTGTAAGAACTGTGTTTCTGAGAACATTTAATTTTTTTAGCTAACCACAGCCTGTGTTCTTAATACACAGTTCTTAGTCATTTACATACAAAAAATAGAAAAATGTGCATGGGGCTGCTGTTTAAAACAATGATAGAACTACATAAATAACTG